AATCGCCCCCATCCACCCGAAACATTGCGCACCGCCTATACCCATGTGGTCCCGATGTCTCACGCAGCCATCCAGACCGCGCCACCTACAAGGATCAACAAACGGACCCAGTCATTTGGGCCGGTACCCACCGAGTCACAGGCAACACCATTGGCACAGACCAACGCCCACACCCCTTTTCTCCCACAACCTGCCATGACACAAACATCAGCGCCATCCCTCTCTACCCACCCTTTTCTCGCCAAGCCCGCACACATGCCAACGTCACATCTGCAGCCAACAAGCAACCCACACCTCCACATTTTGGCCATGAACCCGCCGATCTCATCCCACATGTCTTGGCCATCGATCCTCAACAGACACCACAACCCAAACGCCCACCCCCAGCTCTCAGCCAGCCGGGTGGAGGCCGTTGATGGAGGCTGCGGTATTGCGTAGGTGGTGGCTGTTGGTGGAGGCTGTGGTATTGAGGCATAGGTGTGTGCCAGATGAGCGGATGGTGGAGTCTGCTGGCTGGGGGAAAGGTGGTGGTGGCGGCTGCTGGTCCTTGGAAGAAAGGCATCTGAGTGGCCGTCTGAGGGCATCGCACAGTCTGATCAACTGTGTGTACCTGCGCTGCGACATCACCCTACTCTTCTCGCTGTTTTTTGCTTCCATGGTCCTTTCACGATACTCCCCACAAACAGGCTTTCTACCGCATTGCAGCTGCTCACCGCCGCGTTCCGCAGACAAGTGAACAACATGTTCAACAATTCGGTTGCGCTGACCGCTTCACCTTACGTTTCCCTCGTCCATGTCACCGTGGATTCTGATACTGGATGAACCTGTGACTAAGTGTATCCCGCTATCACAAGCGGTAAAGTGATTGTACTTGACAATGCGAGCCAACTCAGTGGAGTAGCAGGGAGCACAGGCCTATCGTGGATACCTGTGCCAATGAAGCTGTTCCACGATGGGGGAAGCGGAGATTGATCACCTCCATGTACCTGCTGACATTTGTGATGTTACGCAATCACATCCCACTCTAGAACTCAGGCTGGTGAGGTTTCAATGGTCGACAGATGCTCTCGCACTTTCGTGACGGTGTCGCCCATACATGGAAGGTTGTGGACTCAGGACGTTCTGGGCTTTGACACCTTTCCACCGTTCCACCACCAAACAACTCTTCCCAGTGTGTGACGTGTTCATTTTCTGTTGGGAAGGGGGTAGACACCAGTTACACATTTTTGCTGTTACAGGTTGCCTTCTGTTGATTTAAAGCGCTGCAATTCCCGAATGCTTGCTTGCAAATGCTAGAACCCAACGATCTCCAGGAATGGTGGCCAAACAAGTGGAGGTAGCAGGTAGTGCTTTTCAAGGGACAAAGAACTGACAAGCGGAGGTCAAGAACTGACAACACATCGCAACCTCTACAGTCGCTACGCTACAACACAGCCTTGCGCATCACCACCACATCACCACTTTCCACCTCATCATAAATCACCCTCGGTTGGTCCCCGCGACTACGATCATCTTCCATGCGGCTGGAGGATGGCAAGGAAGCTCGACCTGTCACCACTCTGCCCTTGGACAAAGTGAGTTCTAGTGGTGTGGCAGGCTGGATATGGCTGGATTGTCTTCAATTCACCACTCCTGCGCGAGGCCTCTTTGTCCTCACTGACCTTGTCCTTCAACGTGTCCAAGTGCTCCAGCTCTGCGGCTTCAGGACAGCTTTCGGCTTTCTCTCACTGTTCTTGACTCTTGACTGTGGCTGTCTGCTCTGCGTCCCAACCAGAGCATCATGTCCAACAGGCGTGCCCCTCAATTGCAAGCTATTTATGTTGGAGGAATATGAAGCTCTGAAAGATGACTGTAAAATCCTCGGGTCTGCCTGCTGCTCTGTGACACATGGCATGCGCGCAAAGCATCACGTACTCCCTCCCTTCCGCGTGGCGAAGAAACCCTGATGATGCTTTTCGCTGCTCACTTCCACTGACCCTCATTTTATTTGATCTCTGACTCATCAGTGGACAAAGGAGACCACAGCACGCATCTCGCACAAGCCACGCACGAAAGCTCCGGCAAAGGCTGAAGCAAACGATCCACGCCGCAAGGTCGCTGGATCTATGGTTGCATTGGAGACGCCCACTCGCGATGTTGCCACATTCTCCACAGCAACGGCACAGCCGTCGTCAAGCCCGCCAAGCCCGCGTAGCCGGCAGCAAGGAAATGAGTAAACTTGTGAAAAACGGGCGCAAACGTCACGAGCACGCAATTTTGCGTGGCCATCTGCCCCTGCCTTCACGGGCCACATCCCAATGAGCTGTAGTCTCTTTGTGGCCGTCAGACGGCTGCGGCAGTGAAATAATGCCTTTTGCAACAGAAACTTCTTTATTTTTATTATTCTCGGGAAGTGAGGAATTTGAAGTTTGGAGCGTTGGAGCAGGCCTGCATGGTTCTTCCCGCAACTTCTGCAATTGGTTTCATTGCCTTGCACAAGGAAGGGAATGGATTGCTTCACCGCTGCAGGAGGAATCGCATCAAAAGGCTCTGCCTGACTCTGCCTTTGTTTGGCACTTTGCTGATCACCTTGATCTTCGTTTCGACCTCTGCATCTTCGAGCAAAATGGTTGCCTCCTGCTACCTACGCGGTTGGCCTCGAAATTGCCCTCTGGAACGATATGCAAGCTTCCGGCGGCATTCCAGGTCAACCTAGCAATGATGCATATAGAAACTAGAATTCCATTCCTTGTCAAAGGCAAGGCACCTCGTGCTCCCGAAAGCGATCGTTGCGCGCTTTGAGAGTTCGCCCAGTGAAATTCCAACGTAGGCCTGAAATGCAGGCCATTGATTTGGCCATGCTGGTTTTATCTTCACCTCATGCACACAGAAGTGATGGGGCTGGTTGTATATCATCGTCAGATGAGTTGATAACACCCCTGTGCTAGGGTGAGGGTCTCGGTCTTACGGCATTGAACATAAGAAAGCCTGCCGAGCAAAATTGATTAATTGATCAAATAGGTTGTTTTCAAACCCTAGCGCAAAATGTTGCAAAACAAGTTCCACCTCAGAGGTTTTTGACCGGGCTTGGTCAGCAATATCCATCACTTTAGTCCTTGTCACAGTCTAATAATAGCCATAGAAAATTAGGATTCAAATTGTCCCTGTTAGAGTGCTCTACACTCTAGTCATTGCCTTCGTTATTGATCGGCCAGTCGAAAAGAACATGCTTTTGAAATCTCATTTATGATTACAAATTATAACCCAAAGTGCAAGAAGGAAACTATGGTCCCGACGGCCCTGGCGCCTCCTGGCCTTATCTTTACTCGAAACAAAATATTGTAATGTGCTTTGTTTAAAAATGCAATAAAATGGCAAGCAAACCTTTGAATTGTGATGAATTGTGCATGCTCTTGGGCTCCTTGCTTGAACACGCCGCCTCCTTGCTTCACCTTCAGGATCAAGAAGGGCTCGACGCAAAACCTTCGGCAAAAAGAGGGGTCGCATAAACAAGTTGGACAGCGTCGACTTCAGGGACCAAGCAACATCTTCTCTCATGATAGCTTCAATTTCGGCGTCAGCTGCTTCCGCAGCCTTTGCAGTTGAAGTCTCAGTTTTCTTGTTGAAGTCTCTTGAAAGAAGCGGCCTGCGTTGCATCTACTGCCTCAAAGGCCAGCAGTCAGAAAGAACCCACATGACAGCAATGAGGCTGGCATGTGCAAATGCACCTGGGCTGCAGCTTTCGCTGTATCAGGGTGGACCTTTCACAATGAATCTTGCTTCGTATTTGACTACCTGTTGCAACTGTTGCAACTGCAAGTTCGACAAACCGCATAAAGCTACAAAGCACGCCAATAAGATCCCGTAAGAGTAGTCTGGAGCACACTAATTACACTCTGCTGTTCAAGTCGTCATGTCCAAGCACACCGCGCATGTACGGTCACAGTACCCCGACAAATGCGCGTGAACAGCTTCCCCCTTAGGGGTTAAGATAGTCAAAGAGTCAAAGACCATGCAACCAATTGTCCGAAAAGGGTTATATATATAAGCAAACATGTAGGAAGTCCAATCTACAAGCACCATAGTAGTTCTGCTGCATGCGGTTTGAGTCTTGGCTCTGTCGCAACCTATTTTTCTTCACCCACCAATGCACAGTGTTGCTCTCCACATACACTTAGAGGAATTAGGCAAAAAAAAACAAACAGGCAAACAATGGCATCAAGCAGTACTGTCTTCAGTACTTGGCAAAGCAAATAGACAGTATTCAAATCACAAAGAATGGTGTGCGAACGAATACGCATGACATGCCGTGTCTCCTCAACCGCTGCCTCCTCGACATCAACGATTTGCACCGGCCGCGCTCCTCTCTTTTGATGCGAATCTTGCGGTCACAAATGGCACATTTGTACTCATTTGTAGCAAGGACGCTACTAGGAGCAAAGGGCATCGCTACTAGGAGCAAGGACGCTACTAGGGGCTCCTGGCCTTACTACTAGGAACAAGGACGCTACTAGGAGCAAAGGAGTATCGCCTTCAGCCTCGTCAACTCCAACTCGATCCTGCCAGCAAACCACTTACACACCTAATGATTGCTCATTCAAGCTCAAGTACCTCCTGTCCAGTTGTTTTTCACGAAAGCAAATTCAGCAGCTCGCAGTGGTTGTGAAGTCCTGCGCAACGCTGGCAGTTGCCTCCAAATCTAAGACGTCGACTCCTGGCACTGATCAACTTGTCTCAACTGTCTGTCAAGTCTGTCAAGCAATCTCTCCAAGGCTAAACAAACATTGTGCCAAGGCGCCTCCAGCGTGCACAGGATCCTGCACGAAGTGTTTCATTGCCCTTGAAACCCATTGAGATGCCGGACGTTCACAAGCAACTGCCCTGGCAACTTCGGCTGCTTGATTGCAGTGATTCCTTTTGCCGCACTGCGTCGTTAACACAGCAGGATACGGATCTCGTTTGCAGTTGTGCAATGAACATCCGAAAGCTTGAGCCGCCAAAAGGAATCTACTCCAATGCGTTCATCCTCCGCGCAACCTCAGATCAAAGGCAAACACGCCCTCGAGGCCTAGGTTTTGAGAAAGACCCAGAACCCCTGATGAGCGCCTCATGTGATTCATGCCACCTCGCAAGTTGGTACCCTCTAAGCATCTAGGCAGTGTTGACCGCTTTGACCAGTGTGGAAACAATTGGAAACAGGGAACTGAGAGCTGGACCTGAGCCACACCCAATGCCGGTCATCGTTGCCCCAGTAGCTTATCCATCCAGTCCTGAAACGCTCAACGACTGTTGGTGACAACCATGCATGCCTAGTGCAAATAGCAGGCGCACGGGCTTTCACTTTCGCCACAGGGATCCATCAAAGGCACTCGATACCCGCTCTTTTGAACCTGGAGCAGCAAACCTTCCGACTCCGTCAGGCGCTCCAAGGGGTCAAGAACAAGACAGTGCATGTTTAACTTGAAAAAAACAAAATAAAAACCAGATGGAACCCACGAATCCGAACGCAAACACGTACTCGAAAACAAACGCCCAAACATGTTTTGTTTGTAGGAGACGCTCTTGTAGAACGCTCTTGCGGGACTCTTGTGGGACATTCACGTACGACAGACTTACGTACTCAGACGTAATTTGGCCACAGAAGTTGACAGTTCTGAGGCCACAGCTAAAACACTCTTGTGGTGCACTCTCCTGGGACACTCTTGTAGGACACTTTGAAACACTCTTGTTGGACACTTTGTACAGCACTCACTCTTGTGCGACACTCTTGCGGAACACTCTTGTAGGACACTCTTGTGGGGCACTCTTGTAGGACACTCGCGTCGGACATTCTTGTGGGACACTCTTGCGGGGCACTCTTGTGGGACACTTTTGTAGGACACTTTTGTGGGACACACTTGTGGGACACTCTTGTAGACACTCTTGTGGGACACTCTTGTATGAAACTCGTGTGGGACACTCGTGCGGAACACTCTTGTAGGACATTCTTGTGGGACTGTCTTGTAGGACACTCTTATCGGACAATTTTGTGTGTCACCCTTGTAGGACACTCTTGCGGGGTACTCTTGCGGTGGGACGCTCTTGTGTGACACTCACTCGTACTCGTACTCGTGTGGGACACTCTTGTAGGAAAGTGTTGTGGGACACCCTCGTAGGACACTCTTGTTCGCGATTCCAGCCCTGCAAGCAACACCCGCTCACACGTCAATCCCAATGTCACAGCGACATTCACCTCCACCACAGCTCACAACCTCACGATTCCCTGCGCCTGCCACAAAATAATGCGCCTGCCACGAAATGTGACCTTGCAACCTCACGATTCCCTGCGCCCGCACAAAGCCCGCACAAAGTACTGCGCCTGCAAAGAAAAGTGACAATATCAGATCATGTTAGCCTCAGGTCACCACGCCACACACTTGGAATGACTTCGGCACGGTCTGAGCACACTCCCATCCACCAAAGTCGCCATTTGAGCTGAGACTTGTCACGAAAACACAGCTTCGAAGCAACAGCCTGAAACGCAAATCCCAATGTCACAGCCACATCCAACTCTAAACGCCAATCCGAATCTGACTGCGCAGAAAACTGTGGATCTCGCAAAATGCCGCGCCTGCACAGGGAAATCACCCTCCACACTTCAACATCTCAAATATGTCCACACCTTTCCTTGCTATTTCACACGAATCTGACACGTCATGCTTCCATCCAAAACCCTCTCCAAAAACTTCGCCCAATGTACGTGCCATAGCGTCCCACTGGGAACGGTTGCGGACGGTTGACAACGTCGCAAACGCTAATACAACGAGTCGCGAACAAGGCTCTACCCCCAGACCCCCAGAGTTAAACGAGAACCCTTCGCTACGCATTTGGGAATATATATATATATATATACGCACACCAAAATGATCAACATTGAACATGCTTTCAACGCAGAAACAAGGCACAGGCTGGACTGCCACACCGCAAAGCCGTGATAGAGCCAGCATGACGAGTTCGTCACCTTCTTCTTCTCCTCGCATCTTAGATACCCACCTGAAAGGGTAGGTTGGAGGCCATGGCTAAGTCTGCATGGCACTTGAGGCACTTGCTTCTCGTAAGCATCCTCGCTTGGCTCGCTATGCGCCTGGCAATATGCCAGCGTCACTTAGCCAGATTCAATGGGCTTCCCGGCCGCTGCGACTGGATGGAAGAAGGGCAGGAAATAGTCCTGCACATCTAGGGAGTGCCAGGGTCCCAACAGCAGTGAACCAGTATTCATCAAACTTTGTTCAGGTGTTTACAAATGCTGGAGAGTTGATTGTTCTTTGGTGCGGTGGGTCTGTTTCAAGAACTCTTTTTCATCTTGTGTCAGAAAATTCGTAACGATAATGCGGCCATCGATGAAACTGTGACTCCTTGGAGCAAGAGCGGGGCGGGTGGGTGAGTGGCATTGCTCTGGATACAGTAAATTGTTTGAAGTATAATACAAACATTCTGGACAGTGACGAAAGCCCCAGTGGCCCAGAGTGGCCCCAGTGCCCTCTGATTGGAAGGTTTGGCGTACGGTGAAGTGTAGTGTTCTTGGAAGAAACATAATGACGTACAAAAGATCTCACCAAAGGTAATCTTCAAAGGTGCTTCTCGAATAAATCGTCCAAATTCCGGCCCACGCAAATCACCGCGAACAGTTGAGATGGAGCAGCTTGCGTCGCTCACAAAATGTGCAAGTACCTATATTATATATATATATATATATTTATTTATTTATAATATAGCCTTTGCGTCATACTGAAGTTTTCGTGGATGCAAGCTGTTCGCGGACCTGCCTTGTCTGACAACAGAACTTCACAGGCTGCGTGGCGCAAAACGTCAGCCATCCGACCTTCAGGCATCTCAAGAATCACCACATCCATTGTGGCCCTTGGCCCTTCATGTGTTCTTCTTGTTTCTGTTTTTTTAGATGCAAGACCGCTGTGCCATGCTATGCCTGTTTGGAACTCCAAGGCATTCGCCCAATGTACTGTAGGGGTTCTCTTGGTGCTCTTGGATGAGATCCGGTAGGGAGATCGTCTGCGAATTGTAAATGCACAGTAGGACGCTACTAGGAGCAAAGGGCATCGCTACTAGGAGCGATCGGACGCTACTAGGGGCTCCTGGCCTTACTACTAGTAACAAGAGGACGCTACTAGGAACAAGAATTCAAGAATCGTTCCCTTGCAGTGTAGAAATTCCTCGGTCCTCTTTACGCTGTGCAATGCTGCGCTCCTTTGGAGCTTGCAAGAACAATGCGCATCTTCCTTGTGAAGATTCCAAGGTGAAAGCATAGCAACTCTCTGCCTGAAGCCACAAGGATTTGGTGGTCAGGCGTCACCAGCTGCTGAGGTACACCCTCGAATATCTCTCTTGAAAGAAACGACAACACAAAGTTACAGGATGTTACAGGCTAATTTCAGACTGGTTGGAAACTGCAAGTTCAATCTCAAGAGCACAAGGAAGTTTTTCCTCCTTTGGACAGGTGATGCATTGATCTCAAAGCTTTGTCCTGGCCGAAGCCTGAGTCTTTCGTCCAAGCTAGCCAAGGGGTATTTTACATCAGTTGCACTTAGCGGCCGGGTCATTCGTTGCCTTGACGTCAGCGTTTGACTGGAAACCTGGCTGATCCGTTCGTAGCAGGGTCAAAAAAATGCTGCAATTGCTCAAGGATGCAGCAACTATTTGACTATTTGTCAACAGGGCACTTCAAGCTCTCCTGTGGCTTCACAGCAAAGGAAACATGGTCCTCAGGGCGAAAGCTACTTCAACTTCAAGCCTTTCCACTGTGAGAAGTTTCTTAAAGCTACTTCAAGCACTTTATCTGAGCACTTCACGTGGAAGACCTGCTGTGAGGACTCTACGTCACACTGTGAAGCTTCCCAGCCACACAATCCTTGCTTCATTGAATCTATTGATCTCGCCTCGTCACATTTCGCTACGCAATCCGTTGGATTTGTAATGTCTTGGAACTCCTCGCCAATGGTTTTCATGCCTGCAGTCTAATTAGTTTGCAGGTGTTCTCCATGAGTGCTAATAAAGCTGAGGACTCCACCAAATCGCTGGCACATGACCTCTAACATTCATGAGAATGGCAAATCGTTCTTACTTACTGTAGGCCATTCGGACATTCTTTCACCTGGTTTATGTCAAATCAAGTGTTGTAAACAAATCCACCTTGCAGCGATGAACATCCAACCGTGGTCTGACCTGCAGGACTTTGCGTCAGCTACTTAGTCTCCCTCTCTCTCACAAAAGACTAAACTGTTTCAGGTAAAGAGGTGTGCTTCCTGAGACTGGAAAGACTAAGTTCCTAGAGTGGTGGCATTGACTGACGTTGAATTTAAGGCTCATTATCAAGGAGCATAGCTTTGCGTGTGTGAAACAACTTGAGAAAGTGTGTACGGCGCCAGTGACATAGCTCAAGCCCAACACTGGCAACGGATGGTTTTTCCACAAGTGATTGTTCATAGGTTCAATGGTGTGCGACCCTTTCCTCGGGGGGCTCTTACTCTCAAACAACGAAGTACAAAAGACTCGCCTTCATGTCGGCACTCGGTCTTCATGTCAACAGGATGAACATAAAGAATAACTGTCACAAATGATTTCCTCAGGTGTGAATTTTAATATGCAGAACTCAAGCCAATGGGGTTTAGACTATTGTCCTTCTTCCAGAGAGTCTTCGGAAGGTCTCCCTATTTAAATACATGGCCACACGCAATGGTTTGAGAAGTTGACGAGGTGAACTTTGTGATTTTCGCACAGAGGAATCTTTTCGACAATAAATCTAGCAGCGACCTGGCGACCTAAAAACATCAAAAGTCAATCAAGACATTTATATATATATATAAAGGAGCTCACGCCTGCCTTACTTTTGACGCGCTCCGCAGTTTAGTCAATAAAAACGATCAGGTTTATCCCTGGCTCACTCTCTCTCACTGAGGCTCAGTAGGAGACCCAGTCTGCCCAACCGGCACCTCCTAAAGCCTCCTGCCTAGCCGAGAGCTTTAGGCCGATGTCTCTTGTGTTCCAAAGAAAAATTTTAAGTCCCAACTGCAGGTTTGGCGTCAAGTCCCTCCCTGACTTGATCTGAGTCTATCCCTGACTCACTCTTTTTGTTTCTCACTGAGCCTCGGTAGGAGACCCAGTCCGCCCAACCGGACTGAGAATCTACTCCTCGCACCTCCTAAAGCCTCCCGCCTAGCCGAGAGCTTTAGGCAGATGTCTCTTGTGTTCTTTGAAAAGGAAAAAATAAAAGTCCCAACTGCCCTTATGGCAACAGGAGTGCAGCCGGCTCAGCCGGGCAGGGTGGGCGGGAGCTGAAGCGTTTGCCCCCTTTTGTCAGACCAAGGGAGATCACGGCCGGATTTTTTGGACCAGCATGTAGATGTGCGAGTTCTTGAGGTTGAGCGTTTCCCCTGCACGGAGCATGGCACAAAAAGCGACCAGAAAAGAAACTCCAAAACTGAAATGACCATGAAAGTGGGCCCAACCCACCATGGCTAGGACCGCCTCCTGGGGCAGAGGAGGTGCCCGATTTGGAATTTCATTGGTACTCCAAGTTCGCGTAAGTCGCCATGACAACTGTAAATGCCCTTTCAGCTTTGGGTCACGGTCTTGAAGTCCTGCTAGGGTGTCGCAAGCTTGCGCTCGTCCGACTCCTGCTGACCATAAATATTCCACATACTCTGCCAGGAGCCCATCCAGTTGCTCCCGCTTTCGTGGTAGCTGCAAATAATTTGCACGCAACCATGTATAGAACTTCTCCGTGGCATTGTCATACCGGGCACGTGTTTTATCAGAGACAGTGAGCGACCGCAAAGTCCCCAGTTGTTTTCGAGCTGTTTGCCTATCTTCTTTTGTCTGACCCTCCAAAACTCTCTTTCCTACTTTGCCCGTTTTCGACGAAGCGGCCGCCGGTTCGGCTGGTCAGCCGGGTTTTGCGATGTGTGGATGTACCCCCAGAAAGGGTGACGGTCAGCTGCAAGAAGATAGGCGTTCAGATGCTGGATGGTCTTTCGTAATTTTCGACTCCAGCTCCCAGTGCGTGGAGGCATACCAAGCCACCCTACCGGGAATACGGTAAGGGGTCGCTTCCAGCGTGAATCATCAAGTCCTCTCCCTTGGAGGTTGTCATCTCAGTGAGTTTCTGAACTGATGCCACGGAGTCGTCCCCATTTGGGAATTTTTGCCGAATTGGAAAAGGTGGTCGCATGAGCACATGATAAAAGCTGCTGCCTCGTCCTAAGATAAATTCTTCCACCAACTGCTGCAAAGACCATTTGCGACAGAGTCCCAGTGGGATCATCAACTGAAGGATCAGCCAAGCACAACTCCCACCTGCCAGGAGTTGCCCAACAAGGTCAGCCGGGAATCATCATAGGCCTCGCCCTTTTGTTCAGATTTGGGAACGCAATCAGTCCAATGGGAACCCCATTATGACTTCGCGTTCTTGGACATTTGGTCGACGCCAATTGTTCCACAAACCATGACTATCTTTGTATTTGGGGGGAAGCGGTGCTTATCATCAACCCACCGTTGTAGTTCATGTGAGGCACGTGGCCGTGAGGTCGTGAATGTTGGGAGTGTGCGTCCGTCTTGAAGAGACCATCCCCGCTCAAGAAAACTGCTACTGTAGCTTCAATGCGTGCCTCAAGCCGGTCACCACATAGGCCTTCCATCCTGACTCTTCACCTTCCATGAATGTCACCCCCTCACCTGGAGGAAGAGGCCAGCTAAATCCAGTATAGCCGGGGACGGGACTTAAAGACAAATGCCTCGAGAGTCGATCCGAAACAGGATCCTACCGAAACGTTCACTCATAGAGCTCGGTCCTCTCCACTCATAGACGCAACATCCTCAACGAGTTCATGGACCTGCGCCCGCGGAAAGCCCTGCCGGAACAGCTCGCAGATGCGTGGGACACGCACGGACAACGAACTTCTTTCATCTCTTATTGCTCCCTTCCTATCGGCATTTAGCCCACTGACTCCCTGGAATGGAGGCCCTGCCCCCACCAAGACAACTCCTACGTTGCTATACTTGGGGCCAGCTGCGCCACCTCTGCGGCTCCGAACTCCACCACGTCCTCGAAAAACTCAGTCTCGGGGAAAGCTTCTTTCGGGCCCTTTTCAATGCTGACATGTCCGGCCATCGGCAGTCCCAAAATGTCACGCGCAACCCGACGTGCCCCAACGCCGTCGAAAAGACCCACCGACAGCGCTCGGGCTTCATTCCTCTTGCGTGCCCCTCCAACGTTTTGAGCCGTTGGGCTCCTAGATCTGCAGCTGCGGCCACCTGTCCAGCCAGCAGCAAATAAATCCAACAGGAGTCCCCAATGATGGGACTCCCTCGCCACGGGCCCACTCATAGCTGGCATCAGCACCTGTCTCGCGTACTGAGTTGCAATCGCTGGCACTGACCATTCGAGGGGCTCTCCAGCCACGCCCAACTGTGTCAACAAAGCCTCCTTCGCCTCCGCGATCATGGACATAGTAAGCCCCCGGGCGCTGACGCCACACTCGCTGCGTAGGGGTGGCAGGTTCTAAGAGGTCTCGGTCTTCCACCTCTGCACTCTCCTCGCTCGAGCTCGATGACCCGCCACTTCCCGATGAGCTGCGCCCCCCGCTTCTTGTTGCGGCTCCGACGGGCTACCTTGCGAGCCTTCTTCTTTACCTTTCGCCTGACCTCCGCTTTTGGATCCAGGCCTGTTGTAGAGAAGATGCTCTCCAATGACTTCTTTCCTTGCATCCGTGAAGCCTCCTTTTTCTGTGTCTTCTTCGTCCTCTTCTCCGTCTGGTCTCCGACACCCCAGCGGACTCCTCCTTCTTCTTCTCCTTCGCCACCTTTGCTCCCACTCCTTTTCCTCGGTGCCTTCGAGATTTTGGCTCCATCCCACATCTTCTCTCCTCACTTCTCGCAGTCGGCTGTCATGCGTGTAGCCCTCTTCCCAGATCAACGCTGTGCAGGGATCCGCACACACGTGGACTCTCGTCCGGCGTGAAGCCACTCGCGCCGCTCGCCTTCAGCCACACCTCTCATCCGCTCTCTGTGCGCTTGATCTCCAAGACCTTGCCGATGACCTCCACTTCCTCGTCCCAGCGCCGCCCCTGAATATGAATCCATGGCCAACCCAGGAGAGCGTCTGAGTCTACCTCTCCCGCCTTGCTCCATCCGCCAACTCGTCCAGGTGCGCCCAACGCAGGCCTCCTCAACACTCGTCGACCAACAACCGCTGCTGCTGGCCGCCTCCTTGGAGGCATTCCCCAAGCTCACGCTGCTCCTCCCACAGCCTCTGCCTCCCCCTTTCCCAATACCTTTCGTTCTTGAGTTCCTTCTTTGGCCCCTTTGTTCCTCTTTGGCTTCTTCTTGTTCTTGTATGCACGGATTGGCCCAATCCACAACTGTCCACGGCTAGGTCGGCGAGGAAGAGGTGGTGGATGATCTGGAGATCTGGGGCGCCTGACCCTGTTGCTCTCACCCTCCCAATCACCAGGAGGTCTCCCCCTGTTGAATGCTGTGAAGGGCTCCGACTCCTCTTCCGCTCTTCTCTTTAGGCTTCTTCTCAGGTGACCTGCTTCTTGATCTCTTCTTCTCTGACTTTGCCTTGGGCTTCAACTCAAGACGAGGATTCCTGGAATCCTTGGGTTTGCTCTCGTCTTCCTTCTTCTTCTTCTTCTTCTTCTTCTTCTTCTTCTTCTTGAGCTCAAAAGCTGGGTCTGCACTGGGCTTCACACTCCTCCAGGGCAATGGGACACGAGGACCCTTCTCAATCGACCTTTTGACTCCCTCAACAAGTGTCTCAGGAGTCTCAGATCGCTCTCGGGCTTCTTGCTGTTCAGACAGCCTCTTCGTTCTCAGGTCTCACCTTCTTTTTCCTTCTCTTCTTTTTCTTGGCGCTCTCCTCCTCGTTCTTGTCCTCGGCCTCCTCAGGCTCGACCTTGGTTTCCGCCTGTGGCTCGTCGGTATCTTGTGCTTCACGGGTGTGGCGGTCCGTGAACACTCACTCTCCTTGCCCCTGGAGAGCCAAGGCCCGCTCTAGGACCGCAACGTAGACCTTGTGCACGTCCGCGTAGGTCTGCAACCGGTTCTCCCTGTTCAACCGGTTGTGGAAAATCTCAGAGAGCTTCCCACTGCGCTCGCAGAGCCCACAGCGGCAGCCTCCTCCCTCCACAGGAGGAGGCTGGGGATCCATTCGACTCCAGCTGAAGCCGAAATACTGCGATCAAAACGTCAACCGCGTATCCCTTTAACACACGGGACGTTTAACATGTTTATATTAATATTAATATTAATATATCGAGCTCGTATATACGTATGACGATCGGTAGCAGCGGAACCGGCTTATGTGGAGTTGAGACGTTGCGAGTGTCTGTTTGATGAGGGGCCCTTCGTCCCGTCAGGCCCGTTGGTCCCGTCAGTCCTGCGCAGGGCCATCGAGAGCCCGTCAGTGCCCGTCAGGCCCACTGGTCCCGTGGGTCCCGTTGGGCCGGTTGGTCGGGAAAGTTGGGACTCGTGTAGCGGACCATTCTCGAAACTGGGGCTGTAGAGGTAAGAACCCTTCGTCCTTTCAGCACAAAGCTGTTCCAAGACTTTGTAAGGCTGCCACTGCAATTGTGAGAGCAAAGCACGTCAGCCAAAGGACCCAGCTGCGAAGTGCCTTGGCAACTGCAGATCAGAACATATCAAAACCTGCTCTTGGTCTGAAACTACAGGAATACATGCGCTTTGTAAGTACTTTTCCCAAGTAGAAACACTCTGTTCCCACTTCTTCTGCATATTACTACAGTGTTATCATTGCTATGTTTCTTAAAGCTTATTAATAGCAATCTGTCAGTGGTGGGAGTAGTTGAGTCGCAACGAAGACTGCCCGCATGCACGATCCTTTGTGGGGAAACGGAGGGGGGAAGCTTTCACGTTACAGTCGCACCAGATTTGTTTGGGCATTCTCTGAACAGCGCAACAGTGTTTTGAATCTCTCATGGAGTAGCAAAATATGTTTAACATATACAACTGTCCAAATACATGTGCAACAGGTTTGGACTCCATGTCCGGCTGCGGGCTCTTCGGATGGTTCCAGAGTCCCACAGTCTGAATCTAGAAAGCAGCTCGGGATGTAGGCTTTGAAATTTGCGACATCCCTTGCGAAGCAACCTTTTCTGCACGCAATGAGCCTCTGAACGCAATTTTTCAAGCGACGCGTTCAATACATTTCTCCGTTGGCGTCCCTTCTGCTGCAACGCCTCCCTTGATGCCATTTGAATCATCATTTGTACACAACCTAGAATGAAGGTCACAACTACGACGTTACCTTTTTCCTAGCCACGGGGAGCCGTCCACTGGTCTTCTCACACATCGCCAGCTCCACCAATTAGCATCTTCAAAGGCAAGTGCCAGCTTCCGGAATTGGAAAGCTTCGGAAAGCATGAAACACTGCATTCTAGATCAACAACAATAATGCTCCCTCCGCATGGGGGTATGGAAGAATTGGCAGGATGAACAGGGGATAAAATAAAAAATTGTGGCACCTTGGTAATGTGGCAGCATGCAGTGTGAGGGTCATGCATTTGGACAAGCAGTGAGAAGGTCTACAGGCTAGGTAGACGCATGCAGGCTGTGTACAATACACAAAAGTGCGAGATGGTGCCAGTTGTACAAATAATGGATTCTGCTTGATGCATGTAAGGGTCAAGGTGATTGTCAGGTGCATTGGGTGAACATGCATAAGGATGCTGTAATGTATGTAGTTAGTTGGTAGAAGGGTGTGGTGGGACAATGTACGCAGAACGTGGTGATGTGCAGGGTGATGCAAGTAGAGGGAGATATGCACTGGGCGACAACTGCGGACGTCAAAGACAAACCTCAGAGCGGACCAGTCGGGCATTGAAGTGGGGGGGAAGGCCACGAGGAGGCAAGGGAACGCAGAATGGAAACTTAAAGAAGCCTGCATACAGCTACCTGTGATGATGCTTCCTGCCAGCCTTCACACCTTCTCACAGGGTGTGCGAAACATCTTGCTGCAACACTTGTGAGATGAAAGAATGTGAGAAGCCTTCCTTGGCCTTGGCCTTCCTTGCCAGTCTGAGGTGTGTGCCATGGCACTGCTGCTTCAATGCTGGCGGACTTTGAGCCACTGGCTAAGACATGGAAGGTTCTGGAAGTCTTCCATGTGTGAAGGCAATCCAGAACTGATGGTTCTTCAAATTCCAAGCAATCATTAAGTAATGAGGGTTCCCTGCCGTTTTGCAACTCAACAAGTTCAAATGGGGTGAACTCCGTCAATCCAGCCGCTGCAAGCTTTCAGCATAGCCCTTGTCGGGCAGGGTGAACCTGAGAGGTCTCCTTCATCTATACAGCTAAGGATCTGTAGGGAGCTTTGGTTCTCCCAGATTCCCAACTCAGATTGCATTGAAGCTGGAGTCGCTTAAAGGTTCGTTGCAGGTTCCAAACTTCAATCCCGTCTTGTCTTCAGCCCGATGTGCGTAAGGTCCAGCATTGGTTCTGCCGAATCTAGCTCCATCATCAGTCGGGCGACGCCTTTGCTTTCACATCATGGGTTAGGGTTTGGGCGGTAAAAACAATGTCTTAAAGACAAGCCACCCAAGAAAGGGACAATCACAAAGAATTGAATCAGCGCGACCTGTCAGGTTGAGCACGGAACGCTGCAGTGCCACACAGCTTGCTTGACAAGACCCACGCGCGCACCCAGCTCACGACATCCAAAGTTCCCTCCCTTGAAAAGGTCTGCAACTGCGAGATTCAAACTTCTCCGCGCTCTCTCTCTCTTTCTCTCTCCCTCTCTCTCGTAAAATTCGTTTGTTTGCGCACGTCACTGTATCGTTTCCTCTGGCAATTGTCCTTAGGCTGAGCTAGGCTAGGCTCAAGGCCTTTGATCCAGGGTGCATTGTATAGCACCAGGCAATTGTACATGAACAATACGATGGAGTAAACATGCAATTGTACAGAAGGTTGTATCTTGACACCGTCCCTTGGTTTGATTCATTGTTGAATCACACCATCTCTACAAACATTGTTGAAGCTGAAGTAAACATTGTTGTACATAAAGCAGTTCAAGCATTGTTGGCAAGTAAGTACAGTGTTTCTCTGCTTCTTGTCTCTCCAGCATTGTTGCCTTCTCTCGTCGTTGCGCTCGTAGTGCACGTGGGCATTGTCACTGCCGGAGATCTGCAGATTGTCGGACCTTTGTTCTAGCCCTGCGCGTCCTCCATATTGTCTTCTGGAGATTGTCTGGGACGCTTTGTCCCTTTCTCCTCTTCTTCATCTTCTGACTTCTCCATATTGTTCTCATTGTATAGGACAGCCACAAGGAGATTGTCGAGTTTGTGGGAAGTCGACGCTGATTGTGGTAGTCTGGAATCGTCATCTCCATGGCCATTGTTGCCCTTGAAATTGTCCTCGAAATAGTCGATCCCGATTGTCAGCGCTCGTGAGCTGGGAAGCGGCTGCGGTCAAAACGATTGTCGACAAATTGTCAACCAAACATGCATTGTCATCCAAATCCAAATTCAAAAGCAATACTTCAAACACATTGTTCGTCGAATTGTTCTCCGAAACGACGGAAGGAAAGTCGGGCCCATAAAGATCTTGTAGTACATATTGTCTATGACATAGTATGCACATAGTAGCTAAAGTAGTGTGCCATGGCTTGATGCCCCCGTGTGTGTGTATTGCGCACGCATAGATGCTGCCATGGTTGTGAAACTGTTTGTACTGCCGTTGTTCAGTTGTGATGTTGCGAGCATTGAATGCCCGCCATGTAGAGGCGTTTGTTAAGCACCTCTGCCGGGACATACTTTGTCAGTATGTCTGCTGGGTTGTCCTGTGTGCTAATCTTGTGTATTGATAGGATCCCGCTTTGTACCAGTTGTTGTATGAAGATGTATTTTAGGTCAATGTGCTTTGCTTTCTTTGATGAGACAATTCTTGTTGCTATGCTCTTGCCGCTTGTGCTGTCGGTGTGTATGCGGATGTTCACCTTTGTTGTCTTTGTTGTTGTTGCTTCCTTGATGAAGTTTGCTATATGTAGTCCTTCTTGTGCTCCTGTGCCAATTGCATAAAGCTCTGATTCTGCTGATGATAGCGCTACTACTGCTTGTGTTCTGCTTCCAAATTGTACCACGGATCCCATCATTGAATCATTGTCACGATGAATCCACTTGTTGATTTTCTTGTGCTTGGGCATCCTGCCCAGTCCGCATCGACATAAATGTTGAGGTCGATGGGTTCCTTTGTTTGTGGTGTATGTGTTGTCCTCAGGATCATTTTGTAGTGTTGTGTTCCCCTGAGGTATCGTAAGAGACGTTTCACCTTGCGTAGGCTTTGTTGCGTTGGTTGTTGTAGGTCTCATGCCAGTTCTTTTGTTGTAAAGCTGATGTCTGGTCTTGTGTAGGTCAGCCATTGAAGCTTTCCTACTGCTCTCCTGTCGTCTGCACGTTCTTGTGCATCCCAACGTTACCGCTGGGGCCTTCATTGGGGTCGACGACTACCATCGGCCTACATCCTTCCCAAGCATTCTCAGGACTGGAGCAATGCACGCCCCATCGTGTCTTACACACAGACGGTCAGCGCTCCTCGCAGTCAGACTGTGGCCTCCGCCGTCTACTGCCTCCTTCAGAGCGCTTTCCCGGATCTCACCTCTCTGTCCGATGTTCTTCAACTACTTCGTCACATTCGGCACTTGTTTCAGAACCTCGACGCCACCGACGACCTTATCCTCTTCCAACAGGATATTGCCGGTTTCTTCAACTTCGTCACCCATCCCCGCATGATCTCCACCACCGAGTTTCTGGTTGGTCGCTACGCCTCTAGACAGCGCCTTGACCTCAACGATGACCCTGTACTCAGTGTCTCCCAACATCAACAGGAACGCCTTCAACGGATCTTTCGTGGACGCTGGCGACGCACCTCTCGGACCTATACACTTCACCTACGTGACCTCCCGGCCCTTGTTGAACATTTACTGGCCACCTCTTACTTCACGTTCGGCCTTATCGTTTCCGGCAATGTCAGGGTGCCTCTATGGGCTCACCTCTGGCCAGGCTTGGCCCTTCGCGCACGCTATGTTGACAACGTCTTCTTTCTTGAAAGTACTCACACGCTGCACACAGCATCGTTCCACGCCATATCCCAGCCATTCTTCTACGGCAGACCTTTGGAAATGGAGTTTGTCTCCGAAGATGTTCTTTTGGGCTTCTCCATCTCCACATCTCAGAGGACCCTTACTTTTTCGACAGCCACCCCACTTGACGTTGATTCGGAGCAGTCGCACCGCTGGTTCACCCCACGTGGCCCTTGCTGCGTGGAATTTTGACGCGTCGATTGACACGACCTCGTGATCTCATTCCTCCCCAACTGATGGACCTCACCCAGCAGTATATCGACAAAGGATTCACGTTGCGCCAACTTCTTCCTCTCCTTCACCAACTTTTTTTCACCTACCTCGCAACCTACTTCACTCTCAGCGCCGGTTTCTCACTTTCTCTGACGATGCAGCACCTGGGACCCTTGCGTGATAAAAGACCCTGCAACACATTTATTCACGTTCCTTTGTTTACACGCTTTCTCATGTCACAGTGAATGTTACATTCCTCACCTTCGTTCCCCCAGTCCTTTGGCTCAAACTTTCATTCTTGACGCTATGCCCCTACCTACGCCTCTCGACCTCATGTCCGCCGTTGCGACACACCTCCGGGTCATGATTGCAGCCCTTCGTTTGTTGACCACCATTCTCCAACAGACGGACGGAACCTCACCCCGTGAACTGCCGCACTCTATGTGTCCTCCGAGAGCATCGACCACTACAATGTCTCCACTACATGCGACGACCACATCACCCGGGCACCATGTGACATCGGGACCACTTTTCCAGTACCTTTTCCTGGTGATGAACCACCAGCACCTCCACCGTCTCCTTCCTTCCCACTCCCCTCCTCCCCTTCCTCCTCCTTCTCCTTCCCCTCCTCCCTCCCCTTCCCACCTTTCCGCCTCTCCTCCCCCCCCTTTCTTTCCTCTTCCTTCGTCCTTCCCCTTTCTCCCTCTTCCTCTCTTGCCTCTTCCGCCCCCCTCCGTCCTCCTGCGCCTCCCCGGAAACGGAAGCGACATACCCTCCCCCCTTGAAATGTAGAGGCCTACTTGTACAGGTTCCACTCCAGTGGCCTATCTAGTGTGTCCATGCTTGACTGCCATAAGGCTCAAGAGGATAAGACTCTGCGTAGAAAAAGACACTAGCACTCTGCACCTCAACCGTGTACGCCCTAGTCACTCTTTCAGTGGTAGCGGAGCAGTGATCCTGGAAGACCCAGGTGAGCTCCTTTCCTAGGCATAGACTTGCTTTTAGGCAAACGGCCATGGATTGGATTGACGACTGGGAAGAGCCTGATGCGGATGTGGCTTATGAGCCAGCAGCCTATGTGAATAGGCATGTGAGAAGAGAACCAGCAGCTATAGCAATGACAACACAGGTCACTACAAAGGTGCCCCCATCTTATGATGGAAAGACTTCATGGTTTTCCTATGAGGATGCCATAGACGATTGGTGCGATATCACCGAGCTGGAGGATGAGAAGAGAGGACCAGCATTGAGGAATAGATTAGAAGGAGAAGCAGCTGTATACAAACGTGTTTTAGACAGAGATGCATTGAAGGCGAATGATCCACCAGGAGCTGGAGTAGATTATTTCAAACGAGTACTACGACCATATTTTGTGAAAGGAGCAACCAATGTATTCCTGTATAGGTTTATGCAATTCGTGCGCTTCAATCGCGGATCAGCTGACCTGATGAAGTGGATGATAAGATTTCAGATTTTAATCCAAAGGCTTATGAGCAGTTGGATGGACATTTTGGAGCCAGTCACACAAGCACATCCTCAGGTACAAGCTCAGATGCAAGCTGATGCAGTGATGAATGGAGTAGCTCCAACGGCGGAAAGAATTCAGGAAATCATGCAGACTATCAATGGCAATCTGAGAACTTTTCATCAGAACGATTTTCCTTTGGGAGAAAATCTCATTGCCTTACTCATGCTGTCACTTGCAGATTTGTCTCAGGACCAGAGGAACACCTTGACCTCTTTGATGACTCATCGTGGTAGGGTCCTGCAGCAATACACCACAGCAGAGTTGAGGACAGTTTTCATTGAGATGTTCTGCACGACAAAGACTTCAGTAGACAATCCTTTGATGCAGCCGACAGGTGCTGGAGGTAGAAGATCATTCCTCGTGTTTGAAGAAGGAGAACTCGATGGTACATATGGCTTTTGGGCCGAAGATGAAGAAGATGGAATAGAAGGATTTCTTGATGCCCTGGACGATGTCTTTTGGGTATATGATGAACAGAATTTCTCTTCGTTCCAGAGGAGATTCCAAGGAAGAAGAGCCAGAAAAGGCAAAGGAAAAGGAAGAAGAAAAGGAAAAGGCAAAGGAAGATCAGGCCGCAGATTTTTCAGACCTCGTGGAAAAGGAAAAGGAGGAAAGAGACGAGGTAAAGGCTACTATGCTGATGAGCAACCGCCAACTTATCCAGATGAGTATTTTGAGGAGAATCCTTATGAGGACACTTGGGAGTCAAACCAAGTAGCATATGATGCCATTCTTGCCGAAGATATGAATGACTATCTTC